TGCCTCAGAACACCGACTCCGTTCCCTGGTCATTAGCCTTGGGTGGCATAGTGGGCCATGATAAAGAAAGGATTCCCCCCAAATTTCCACCGGAGTCCCCTGATGTCTTAAGAAAGCACATGTAGCCCTCACTTGAGTCAACCAAGAGTAGGAGATTCTCTTCTGAATTCAATTTTCAAAAGCAGACTTTCCTCTTTTCCTGTAGTATAAAAATGCTCTGGGCCTTGTACCATTTCAGGTTTTGGATCGAATTCCCAGTCCTGTTATAACCCTGGCAGCTGGGCTTCGCCTGCATCAGCCTTCCCCTTTCCCTGCCCAGAGCCTCTCCCTCCCTCAGTCGCTCTTCACATGGCACAAATGAGTGCATTCTCTGTCCCTCACCGCCCCCCCACCCCGCACCCCTCCACCCCTGTGTGGCTTCTCATTCTTCCCAGCTCTCATCGTGATGATCCAGTTTCTTCAGGTTGATGGACACTTTGGAAATTCATCTTTGAATTCTTCCTTGCTTTGTCGTTCAAAGCATTCTGCTCCCTGACTCCCAGTTCCCTCCTCTCTCCACCCTAGCAATTGAGATGGCTTGTTTTAGCCCTCCTTCCGACCCTCCCTCCCTCCCTCCATCAGCCCATGTGCCTATTTTGCATCAGGCAGTGGGGACAGAGAGATGACATGGTGAGCCACCCTCCTCAGGACGTGGCAGTCCAGGGGTGGGGAACAGGAAATATAAATGAAATATTAATGGCAGTGCAACTTGATATGCACACAGCATGGAGGCTGTAAAATGAGAGGCTTTGGATGGTGAATAAGGAGCTGGGAAGGAGCTGCTGGCAGGGGAACTGGGCGCCCTCTAAGCAGAAGGAACGCCGTGCCCCAGCCTGGGGGGATGTAAAAGCACGCTGCAGGCAGAAGCCCTGAGTTTTGGAAAGTCGTTGAGGCACAGAGTGGAAGCACCTGGGAACAGGGCGGGGATTGGTGAGAATTGGTCTGGAGAGCCAGGCAGGGCCCAGGGCTTCAGAGGCCCCGTGGGTTCTGCGAAGGTCTCAGGCTCATCCTGCCAGTCCTGGGGCTCCACCCAGCGGTTGGTTTGAAGGATGGGAGTGACATGATGAGTCTGGGGAGACGACTCTGGCGGCACTGCTGTGGACAGGCTCATGGGGACCCTCCGAGACAGGGAGGCCTGTGGCGGGTGAAGGAAGGAATGAGGTCACCAGGGAGGAAGAGGACAGGTTCAAGAGGCGTTTGGAGTAAAGTCGGTGGCTCTGAATGACAGGTGGGCGGAGCGTGGGGCTGCCGTCGGGTTTCTGGCTTGAGACGGTGGGTGCCTGGGAGTTCCGTGCCCACGCCCAGTCCTGTCTAAACTAGCGGCCGCTCTGCCTCAGGCCTGCCTCAGTTGCCCCTGTATTCCATTTTGTTACCAACACAGAAATCAGGCCTTCATTTCTTACCTAGATTCTCGAAGTATCCTCCTCATCTCTCTCAGTCCATCCGACAAAATACAGCCAATGTGATCTTCCAGGGACAGCTGAACAATTCCCATCGCACAGTGAATGACGTCCCAGCTTTTAGCACCACCATCAATATTCATTGCTAGAGGAGATGTTCTTTACCCTTAGAGTCCAATCTTTGGGAGAAGATGAAGTGTGTTATATGGGAAGTAACTGAATGTCAAGTGTTTTTTTTTTTTTTTTTTTTTTTTTTTTTTTTTTTTTTTTTTTTTTTTTTTCTGAGACAGCGTCTTGCTCTGTCACCAGCCTGGAGTGCAGTGACACCATCTCAGCTCACTGCAATCTCTGCCTCCCGAGTTCAAGCAATTCTCCTGCCTCAGCCTCCCAAGTAGCTGGGATTACAGTCAGCTGACACCATGCTCAGCGAATTTTTTTCTATTTTTAGTAGAGATGGGCTTTTGCCATGTTGGCCAGGCTGGTCTCAAACTCCTGACCTCAGGTGATCCACCCGCCTCAGCATCCCAAAGTGCTAGGATTACAGGCACACATCACTGTTCTTAGCCCAAGTTGTCCTTAAGGGGGGCACAAAACTCCTACTCTGAGGTCAAGGAAGGAAGCAGGCAGGGTGACTCCACGGGTGACCCTGAGTGATCCTGGTCTGTGCCCATGATGTCTTTCCAGGTGTAACTTCCACTTGGTTACTGGCCTAGAGCTTTCTGATCTGGTCTCACTGTTCCCTAAAAGTGACCCCTTTTCCCATCTGGGTCTTTGCAGACTGCATTGCCTCTGCCTGAAATACTTTCACTCGCATTCCTATGTGTTGAAATCCTACCCATCTTTTGATATCCAGCCCACATCTAAGGACCCCATAAATCCCCTTTGGGAATGGATCTTCCAGAAGCACTTTCCTCTCTTATGGCACTCTGCACACCGACTATGTGCAGCACCTAACATGTCTCATATTTCATCTTCCCCACTGGACCACCAGACTGGGAGCAGAAGTGGAAAATCGGAGACCTTAAGCCTGGGGCAGCCTGTGAATGTGTTTTGTTAGTTTGCGTATTTTTCCACCCCCAAATTTAATTCATTGAAAAATTCTAACCTATGTTAAACACACAGAAAAGCTGAGAATATGATATAATAATGTATATTTGGGACTTATCCCCAAGAATGAACAGATTTGCTCCTGAAACCTGGCCACCTGCTTTTTTAAGGTATAAACTGTTGCACGTACGGTTTGAGCACTAACCAGCTCTCGAATCCGGCTCCTGGAGCAGGTCTTCATACTGCTCTCTCAAATGTGGAGTTAGTCACTATTGTTTAGAAATCATGGGATTTCACATCATAACGGTCAGCCTCCGGCCACTTTTCTGCCAGTTCTCACCAGTCCATCCCAGGCTCTGGGGCCCACCCTGACGCTTCAATCCTGCCCACGAGTCTGTGGCTGAGTCTGGTAACCGAGCTCTCTCATCTGTCCTCTGTGCACGCTTTTCAGGAGGCAGAAGGAGCTCCTGATGCCCCTCGTCCTCCTTCACACCACTGCCCAGGCTGTGCCCACTGCCTGGACCCAGGAATCCGAAGCCTCGTTCAAGCCCCGCTGGCTCCTGTGGCTTTTCCCAGTGACTTCAGCTCAGCTCCATTCTCTGTACTCATACATACCTAGCCCTTAAGCCCGTGGCTGAGCACTTCCTGTGCGTTCATTTATTCCTTTGCCAGGTACCCTGCAGAGCCACCGGGGTGGAGAAAAGGGACCCAAAAGTTCCAGCCAGGTCAGACTTCCTTGTTCTTTCCTCCGGGCCTTTGCTGCGCTCGTGTGGTGGATCACGTGAGGTGCAGCGGGGCTGGGTGAAGGCACCCTGCCCGCGTGGTACCCTCAGGGACAAGAAGGGATGGCACATTTTGTTGGCCACAACACTCGGAGGAGGCCTTTGTGCTTGTTCGGCTGAGACTGCTGACCCATCCTCCCCCTCGTCTCTTTCTCTGAACACCCCTTGCTGCCCCTTGGATTCATGTCCTTTTCCTTCCCTTCCCTGTGAAAATGGCCCTGGTGGTTTTCTTGCCCCGATTCCACCACCCTCCTTTTGTTCCCATGGTATTTGGCATTAGCACGTGGATGGTGTGCATGCCTTACGAGATCTGCACTGATGCTGGCCCTTGCATTTTGTGCGGTGGCCAGAGAAAGATGGGTGTTTTACTTTTCAGCTTACCCCGCTGCCTGGGGTCACTCCTTCTTGATGCTCGTGCTGACCATCTGTCCCTTGGGATATTGAAACCTGTTCCTCTGGATTCAATTTTCTTTTCTTTTCAGAATGAAGATGAAAACTAACTCTATTGTGGTGATTAAATACAGCTGATTAATGATCCATTAATTTCCTGTGTAAGAAAGAAGCCATCTTGATGTATGGGTGTGACTGTCATTATGCTGTGATACACCCAGGTCCAGAGGGAGACAGCTGCCCCTCCCCACTCTCTGCACCCACAGCAACCTCATCACCTGCTTGAGTTCAACTCTGTCCCTGATCCCCTGACAGTGTTTCTTTTGACTGTGTTTTCATTGATTGGTCAATGACTGTGTCATCTTTGAAGACCTCAAACTTGTCTTGATTGGCCTCCTGTCTGCAGGAAAATTGAGAAGACTGAGAGAACCAGTGATTAAAGAGGAGATGGATGGAAGAGGCTGAGGATACGGAAGAATAAAGGAAGAAAGGATGTGATTTAAAGAAGGAAAAGAGAAAGGAGAGAGGCAGTTAAATCCGGGGAGGTGGGATAGTAGATTTCTAGTTTTGGGCTGAGTAGAATGTATATTTTGGGGTAAGTTCAGACTTGTGTTCCTTATTTGCCCAGGAACCCACACTGTGGCTCATTGTGTGATTTGAAAGGCGGAAATGCAGGGTTATGAGTGACCAGAATGGCCAACACACACATAGCCAGGTGTGCTCCAGAGAGAGACCTTCAGGGAAATTGGTACTGAAGCTGTTTTTGCCTCTCCCTGCCCTGCTCAGGGCCACTTGGAAAGGCATGCAAACCCTTTCAGATGCCCCTCAGGGAGCCTCTTGAGTTCTAGAGAGTCCCCTGCATGGGGTTGGGCAAGAAGGAGGTAACTCAAGAAAGCTGGGGCTCTCCCAAGGATCAGCACCCCATGCTTCAGGGCTCTGTTGTGTCACTGACAAGACCAGTTCAGGCTGCATGACTCAGTGGAAGGATAAGGACTTTCAAGGCCAATTGGTTGGTAGCAGGCCTAGCCACTAATCAGTTAGTGTGAATGTGAGCAAGTTTCCTCACCAGCAAAATGGGAGGTGAGGAACACCTGATAGGTTTCTGATGAGCATTAAATGAGGTAATATATGTCATATGCAGGTCAGGTTGTACATGCCTGAAACATAGTAGAGCTTATTCACTCTTCATCTGCCCTTCCTGACTTTCCCACTACTCTGCCCACTCTCCAAACCCCAGCTTATTGCTACTCTTCTAAGTTCAAGATGGTGACCCTTGGAAATGAAAGGGAAAGAGGAAAGTATTTATTAACGGAAATCAGGTCAAGCACGGAAATGTTCATTGAACTGTGTAAAGAAACGGGAGATTTAAAAGAAAAGAAATGCTTTCTCATTTAAGAGGAGAAATAGAGCTCTAGTAGTAAAAAGAGACCCTCAAGTTAAAAGAGACCACAGTTGTTCAGAATCAGCCACTGAGATTTGGACAGAAAGCTTTCTGTCCTCTGGTATACGATTAGGACAGAAAGCTTCTGGTTGGGCCAGTGACTGTGCAGGTTTTGATGATTGGAGGAAGACAATTTGGCCATTGTGTGAAAGGAGCAGCAGGACCTGGGCGTGTGCTCTTGTCACCTTCTGTCTGAAGCCAGGAGGGTGGAGCTTCACGACGTCTCCCAACAATACCCACGTGGGCATCTCCATCATCCTTAAATCACTGAGTCTTGGACTTCAGCATCTCCTTGTGCCGGTCCACAAGGGAACCAACCCACTCCGCGGTTTTCTGCCTGGCTTCCTCCCAGCTGTAGAGCGGCTTATACGCCAGATCTCGCTGAGCCTTCTTGTAAGAGAAGGTGTACCTGCCATTTGACAAGATCACTGTGTGGCGGTTGAAGGGGGGTCGATAGGTGTAAATTGGGCTGAGCAGGAAGCTCACCACTTCCAGCAGGAAGCCAATCCAGTACATCAGGAATAAAGGCAGGCTCCAACTGGAATCAAGACGGAGGCCGAACTCTTTGCTCAGGCTGTAATCAAGGCCATCATAGCTTTGGTGAGGCGTGTCGTCTGAGATGTAATAGAACTGTCCTCGGACGCTTGGGGCCTTCTTGGGGTCCCGCAGGGCCCTCAAGGCCAGAATGTGTGCCCAGGCCACATTGCCAACATACACTGGGTTGACTGTGGAGAACTTGCCGATACTTGGCAGGATTCCACTGTTGTTCAGGGCCTCATTTATAGTGGCAGAAAGGAATCGGCTTCCTTCCCCATAGATATACATGGGTCTTAAGGCACAAGTGTACAAGGTGCCACCGTTTTTCAGAGTCCACCCATCAGCCACCAGCACAGCCTTCTCAGCAAGCTGTTTGCTGTATGGATAGGGAGCAGACCACGTGTTTTCCAGAGGCTGATCTTCGTGGCCATTCTGGATGAATTCCTTGTAGGAGCTGGGCATAGCCACCTCTACGCTGCTGGTGTAGATGAAGACTGGCACACTAGCGTGGACACAGGCCTCCAACAGGAGCTGGGTACCTGCCCACAAAGAGCAAGCTGTCAGTGTCAGGAAATACCCCTAAGGGGGGCCAACTTCGTGCATAAATCCATGTTCCCCACTCCCCAAGTGCAGGGGTGATAGCAGACTCAAGGTACTTTCTTCTATGGCTCTAACGGAGACTGGGTCATTTCACAGCCACAGGAAAAATACCAAAATGAAAAGAAGCTGACACGTGGGTTCTGGAGAGCAAGAATTTCTAAACTTTTGGGTGTATGGATGTGTGTGTGTGCACACACGTATGCTTTAATTTTGGCAAAGGACCTAGGGTTATTACTTTGTGTTTTGCCAAGTAAGTATGTTGAAAAATTGTCGAGCGTGGTGGTTCAAGCCTGTAATCCCAGCACTTTGGGAGGCCAAGGCGGGTGGATCACGAGCTCAAGAGATCGAGACCATCCTGGTCAACATGGTGAAACCCTGTCTCTACTAAAAATACAAAAAATTATCTGGGCATGGTGGCATGTGCCTGTAATCCCAGCTACTCAGGAGGCTGAGGCAGGAGAATTGCCTGAACCCGGGAGGCAGAGGTTGCAGTGAGCCGAGATCGCGCCATTGCACTCCAGCCTGGGTAACAAGAGCGAAACTCCGTCTCAAAAAAAAAAAAATAAATAAATGTGACATCAATACCATTAAAGGGAGATTGTTCAAAAACTAAAAAGTCAGGAAGCTATACTCTGAGAATATGGACAGTCGTAGTCCTTATTCAGAAAAGGTCAGTGGAAGAATTTACATCACACACACACATATACAGTTGTATGTAAGCAATATACACTCTTGGATATACATGCAATTGATGGTATTTTTCTCATTTTGAGTGGACTAATAATCGTCACAAGCACCATCCCTGGAGTCACCGAGCAACGGTGGGCTGTGGGAACATAGTGGAGACCCACACTCTTTTCCTGATTGGGCGTTCCCTGGGAAAGCTGCTTCCAATTCTGGCTGTGACTCTGTTTACCTGGTTATGTAAAATGGGGGCTGATAAACCTTCCTTTAAGCCCCGCCCTGACATTGTCTGTGGAGCCTGGTGGAGGACTGGGGAGGGAGTGCGCCCTCTGCTGGTAACACCTGCACTGGGAGGACCTTGCAGCGTCCCCTGAGCTGTGTGGAAGGGGAAGCTCACGCAGGTGTTTGGAGTGCCTTCCCCTGAAGAAAGAAGAAATTTCCTAGGCAAAGAATTATTCTTTTTTCTTTCTTTTCTTTTTTTTTTTTTTTAATTCTTGGCCTTGTTTAAAGTCTCTGTGGAATTTGAGTTCTGGAGAGACAGCCTTATGTTTTCAAAAATCAATCTGGTGGTAGAGAAAATTTGGAGTTAGTTTACCTTCCAATGGGAATTGACCAAGATTGTAAAACATTTTCTAAGCCTGGGAGTGAGAATGGTTTTAGGAACAGATGCCTCTGGTACTTCCCCTGTCATTCCATATTCCCTGCTGTTGGGAGCTGCGGAGAGCAGGAATTAAAATAAAAAACTGGTTACCCTTAGCACCCTCCTTGCACTGGAGGGGCACTCAGAGGTATGGATAAGTAGAAACTAGAAGGTTTTTTTGTTGTTGTTGTTGTTGAGATGGTGCTGGAGACCCCAAAGCAATTAGTTGCTTTAGAAAAGGCTTCAGAGTAGACTGAACGTGCAGGCGGAGGCCAGGGGTTGGGGTGTTGTGGGGCTGAAGAGACTGGGCCCTGGGAATCAGAGGGTGAGACTGTATGGGAAGTTTCCTTAAGGAAATGTGCCTGAATTTAAGGTCGTTGGAAAGCCATAATTCAGAGGAACTCCTAAGCATTTAAGGGATGAGGGTGGAGTGAGGTCGCACTTTGGGCACCTGGCTGGAAAGGGCTCTGTCATCACAGGCCCTGTGCTGAGCTGGAGAGATCGTATTCTGGATCCTGGGAAACTCTTACTGTTCAGAAAATCCTGTGGAAAGGCGTGTGCTGGGTGACTTTGTCCTGACAGACCTCTGTGAACCAGCTGTGCCAGTTCTCCCGAGAGGACTTCTTTGAGGTAGGCGGGAGGGCTCTGAATGTTCTTTTTTTTTTTTTTTTTGAGACGGAGTTTCGCTCTTGTTACCCAGGCTGGAGTGCAATGGCGCGATCTCGGCTCACCGCAACTTCCACCTCCTGGGTTCAGGCAATTCTCCTACCTCAGCCTCCTGAGTAGCTGGGATCACAGGCACGCGCCACCATGCCCAGCTAATTTTTTGTATTTTTAGTAGAGATGGAGGTTTCACCATGTTGACCAGGATGGTCTCGATCTCCTGACCTCGTGATCCACCCGCCTCGGCCTCCCAAAGTGCTGGGATTACAGGCTCAAGCCACCACGCCTGGCCTCTGAATGTTCTTTATACGGGAGTGCTGGGAAGGGAAGAGCATGGTCCCTTTAAATGATATGGGAAGGGGTAAGGGAAGTGCTGGGTGGAGGAGGCTGTGGTCCCTGGCTAGAACTCCACCCCCAGGGACCTAGATTTGGACAAGCATTTTCTGCCCAAATGTTGCATTTCTGAAGACCCACCCGGCCTGCCACGTACTCATTCTGTGCCTATAAAACCCCCAGGACCCTAGCAGGCACACACACAAGCTGCCGGCCAGTGAGAGGAGCAATTTAGCAGAAGACAGAAGGGGCTGGATATCAGGAGGGGCACATCAGTAGAGGAAAGCAGGGGCAGCTGGACATTGCTAGGAACACACCCACCTGCAGAGCAATGTGGAGTTTGCCTAGGGCGGTCAGAGAAGGGTTGGGCCTTTGAGCAGCCAACTCCAGGGGAAACCCCTCCCCTTCTGGCATCCCCCCCAGCTGCTGAGAGCTACCTTCAGCAAAACCTTGCACTCATTTTCCAAGCACAGTGTGATCCAATTCTTAAGGCAAGAACCTGGGAAACAGAAAGTCCTCTGTCCTTCCGACAAGGTAGCGGATCTAACACAAGCTGCCTATAGATGGCAAAACTAAACTAAAAGAGCACCCTGTAGCACATGCCCAGTGGGGCTTCAGGAGCTGTAAACATTCACCCCAGACACTGCCTTGGTGTCGGAGAGCCACAGCCTGCCTGTCTGTATGCTCCCCTAGAGGTCTGAGCAGCCGGGCACCAAAGAAGCAAGACACACCCCCATTGCATGTCTGGTGAGGGGAAGAAGGGAATTTTCTCCATCTCATTATCATAAGCCTACACACAGCATTTACAATGATGACTATGGTGGCACCTGGAGAATTTTATTCTGGCCCATGGAGGCAAGGAGTGGCTGGATACGAAGTATCTGAAGTCAGAGTTTAGTGGACTTTTGATTGGAGCCGCGGTAGAAAGAGCATCCGCAGCCTTCGGAGTCACACAAGAGTGAGTTTAAAGTCTAACTCTCCTACTTACTTACCGGGAGGGCCTTGGACAAGTTCCTTGCCATCTGTCAGCCCTAGTCTCCTCATGTAAAAAACTGAAGACAGCAGCCTTGAACTCCCCAGTTGGCAGTGATCAGCAAACACACGTGGCGCAAAGCCCAGCGGGTGTTCAGCGAAGGGACTTCTCTTCCCTTCCTTGTTTTTCCTTCTGATTCTTAATTCCTCATCTTGCTCCATCTCCTCCCCAGACTACTGTACCTTTCACGTTGACATTCATGATAGAGTCTCTGGGAATGGCGCCAACGACATCAATGATAGAGGCCGTGTGGATGACGACCGTGATGTCCTGGCAGGCTCTCTTCAGGCATGACTCATCCAGAATGTCTCCTTCCAGCATCGTCAGCTTGGTCTTGTTCTGGAGCTCTGTGTGAACACAGGTCAGGTCATTGGAAGGATTTCTGGATCTGGCTGGGAAGTTTCCTGATAAAGGTGATGTTACATAGGTGTTCAAGGACGGTTAGAGTCAGGGTGTACATTTCATGAAAGGAACAAGTAAACAAAGGCACAGAAATCAGCATGTGTAGCAATTTATTGGGAAAGAGCAAACGTGTTTCTACCACATCTCATTTCAGAAAAGTAATCTGAGCAATGAGCTGTCAGGTGTGCCTGGGAATATAAGCATTGCTAGAGTCCCTGGAGACTCAGATAAATTTTTTTTTTTTTGAGACGGAGTTTCGCTCTTGTTACTCTGGCTGGAGTGCAATGGCGCGATCTCGGCTCACCGCAACCGCCGCCTCCTGGGTTCAGGCAATTCTCCTGCCTCAGCCTCCTGAGTACCTAGGATTACAGGCACGCACCACCATGCCCAGCTATTTTTTTTTGTATTTTTAGTAGAGACGGGGTTTCACCATGTTGACCAAGATGGTCTCGATCTCTTGACCTTGTGATCCACCCGCCTCGGCCTCCCAAAGTGCTGGGATTACAGGCTTGAGCCACCGCGCCCGGCCTCAGATAAATTTTTAAAGAGAGTCAAGTGATTGTGGAGAGTTAGGTATAAGAGGGAAAAGTTTGAAATTAATTTTGTAGGTAATCCAGGATCGTGATTTTGGGTATACAGCACCATGTCAAAGAAAACCCCTATTTTTTGGAATAAGTAGAGAAACAGGCGGGGTGTGGTGCCTCACACCTGTAATTCCAGCACTTTGGGAGGCTTAGGTGGGTAGATCGCTTGCTTCCAGGAAGTCAGGACAGGCCTGGCCAACCTGGTAAAACCCCGTCTCTACTAAAAATACAAAAATTAGCCCGGCGTAGAGGTGTGTGCCTATAGTCCCAGCTGCTCGGGAAGCTGAGGCAGGAGGGTGAATGGAGCCCAGAGGTGAGTGTGGCAATTACCCAAGGTCATGCCTCTGCAGTTCAGCCTTGGTGACACAGCAAAACCCTGTTTCAGAGAGAGAGAGAGAGAGAGAGAGAGAGAGAGAGAGAGAGAGAGAGAGAGAAACAGAAGCAGAGTTGTGATGTAGAAAGTTAACCTTGGCTTGAAGATATAAAATGGACTGGTATGGGGCATATGAGGAAGTAAGGTAATCAAGATTAATCAGAGGATCCGTGCCAAAGTTTAGATGAGGACTGGAACCAGGGTCTAGCAGTGGAGGCAGAGGAGGGAACAGACACACCAGGTTTGAATTTCAGACCTTACTTAGAAAGTCCTGATATCTATTGGATCCGGGCTGAGAGGAAAGGGAACAAACTCATGCCTACGGTCGGTCTCCTGCTTGGGCAACTGGGAGGAGAGTGGAAGCAGTCCTAGGGAATTGTGGATGGGCTTAAATGAGGAATTTCCTTGAAAAACTCTTATCTGATACCAAAAGCAGACAGCAATGCTGAAAGTTAGCCACCAAGGAGCTAATACTCCAGCTGTCCAGCTGAGGGCAGTGGCTACAACTTCAGTGTCTTCAGACTCCTCTGAAATCCACAGGAAGTGACGCTGCCAGGAAAGTTGTCACCTGGAATTAGCCCACACAATGAAGGCCGTGCTACATGGCGCTTGGATGAAAACTCTACAGTTGTTTGTGCTTTAGAACCTGCATATGACTCACAGCCTGCTTATTTCCTTTTACAGCTGTCTCATGAGGTAAGTTTTCTGGGATCAGAGAGATTAAGGGACAGATCTGAGGTCACGTTTCTCGTGAAGGCTCAAACCTGCCCCCTTCGCCTCCGAGCCCCAATTGTACGGCAGGTGCAGGACTGGCTATCATTATCTTATCTGAGTAGGAGTAGGAATGAGCCAGTTCAACTGAAATTGGCAACTAAGGTCAATTTCCTTATCTGAAGTGAGAGTGATTTTGCTATCTGAACAGTAAGAGTAAAACTCAGAGTGAAAAATTCAAGGCTGGAGAAATTCCTTCCTGGGGTACAGGGGGGACCATTTGCTCTCCCAATGCCTCTGCCATGTTTTGCTATTCCCAGCCCCTTCCACTGTCAGGGGACTCCAGGAAGGGACTGCAGTGGGGGAGGCGGGGAAGAAGCTGCTGGGGAGGAGGTGGTGACAGCCTGAGAGTGAGTTTTTCTCTGGTTGTATTTCCCCCTCTGCCCTTCCTGCTCCCTTCCTCTGCTTTTACTTTGCTGCTGACTTCAGACAGACTGGCTCAAAGAAATTACTATGTCAAAGCGGAAGTCTAAAGCCAAGAGAAAAGGACTCTTCCCAATGAGTCCACAGAAATCTAGAGAGACCAGCAAAAGGGACATTGTGGATGGAGCCGTAGTTCCCTCCTTCCTCAAGCGGCTACACGAACTGCTGTTTAAGAGCACAGATGCTGTGCTAGACTGCATGGGTTCAAATCCAGCTTTGCCGTGTTCTAACTCTGGGACTTTTGATGAGTTAATTAGCCTCTCTGTGTCTGCCTCCTCATTTGTAAGAAAGGGAGATAATAATATTAACCATCTCAAAGGGTTGTGATGAGCAGTAAATGAGTCAGCACATGCAAACCATGTAGCGCGGTACCTTGCACAGAAAGAACACTGAAAGGATTCTCTGGTCTTATCTTCATACAGGCCTCTGCCCATCTATTATACCTCCTGCATTTTCACTGTAAAAGAACTATTCCTCTAGGCCAGGCGTCCCCAAACTTTTTACACAGGGGGCCAGTTCACTGTCCCTCAGACCGTTGGAGGGCCGCCACATACTGTGCTCCTCTCACTGACCACCAATGAAAGAGGTGCCCCTTCCTGAAGTGCGGCGGGGGCGGGGTTGGGGGGGGCGGATAAACGGCCTCAGGGGGCCGCATGCGGCCCGCGGGCCGGAGTTTGGGGACGCCTGCTCTAGGCTGAGCATTTCTTTTCGCTGGTATTAGGTGTTAGATTGCAAATATTGATGAGACATAAGGATTACAAACATTTAATTTTGGTCTTGTGTTAATATTTCTCAAAGACACCATTAGAACTCAGGGCGGAGGAAATCGGAAGAGGTCCCAAAGACGAGCACAACGCTGGGTGTGGTGGTCCCTGAGACCTGCCAGTGAGGAGCGTCTCCGTGGGCAGAGCATGACCCTCTGCACAGCCAGAGCCCACATGTTGACACACAGTCTCCCCAATCCTCTGGCTCCATCCACAATGTCCCTTTTCCTGGTCTCTCTAGATTTCTGTGGACTCATTGGGGAAGAGTCCTTTTCTCTTGGCTTTAGACTTCCGCTTTGACATAGCAATTCCTTTGAGCCAGTCTGTCTGAAGTCAGCAGCGAAGGAGAAGCAGAGGAAGGGAGCAGGAAGGATTGAGAAGGTTGAGGAGGAGGACAGGGAATTGGACACACAGGGAGGCAGAGGGAGAGACTGAAGACCCACTTTGCCAAGCATCAGCTCCAGGGTAAAGTGATAAAGCTTCTGGATGAAGCTCTGGTCTGAGCTCTGGTACATATTAATCAGACGGCCTGGGGAAGTTTCTTCGTTTCTGGACCTTGAGAGTTCATTGTCCAGTTGGATATGACCCCTTTTCTACCTTCCTCATGGTGTTATTTGCACAAGGAGTTGCTACAGCAAATTCTGCAATTTCTTGGGGGTATTGAACAACAGACACGAATGATTCATAAAAAGTCTTGTATCGGCCGGGCGCAGTGGCTCACGCCTATAATCCCAGCACTTTGGGAAGTTGAGGCGGGTGGATCACAAGGTCAAGAGATCGAGACCATCCTGGTCAACATGGTGAAACCCCGTCTCTACTAAAAATACAAAAAATTAGCTGGGCATGGTGGCACGTGCCTGTAATCCCAGCTACTCAGGAGGCTGAGGCAGGAGAATTGCCTGAACCCAGGAGGCGGAGGTTGCGGTGAGCCGAGACGGCGCCATTGCACTCCAGCCTGGGTAACAAGAGCGAAACTCCGTCTCAAAAAAAAAAAAAAAGTAAAAAAATGTCGTATATGAAAAATTGAAATGAAGCCTGCCTGGCCTCATATTGCCTCTTACTCTGTTTCTGCTCTGTGCACGCTCTCTCTGCCTCACGCTGACCCTCTCCGTCTTTCTCACGCATTCTTTGTCTTTCTGATTCTCTCTGTCTGATTTTCTCTCCCCCTCATTTTCTCTCTCTCTCTCTCTCACCCGCACGCACACACACACACACACACACACGCCCCCACATGCTTAAACACTCATCTTGATCTTCACTTCCTTTTATTTTGCCTTCACTAAAGATGCCAAGGATGCTATAAAACCAAACAAAGCTGGGGGCAGTCTAGAGAGACAGGGACTCACTGGTCAAGTCTTCGGGTAAATCTTGTCCTTCGTGAATGTTCCAAAGCAATTGCCAAGACAAAAAAATAAAAGTTGTAGACAAGAAAGAGAAGTGATGTGGGATTTTCTATATGAGAAGAAGAGGCGCCTGGAGTCCAAAGTGGCTGCCTCTCAAGTTCTGGGTCAGGGCCAGAATCCAGTCTCCAGACACCCTGTCCAATATCTTTTACTCTATGCCATTTCATACTACTTAATTTTCTTTTTCTTTCTTTCTTTTTTGATGACTGTGGGTGTGAGATTGGATTAGATTTGACTGCAACTTTCTGTAACTTGCTAGAAAAGGTCCACGTTTCTGCACCCATGCAGGGTTTAAAACGAATCAAGTTTACTTACCAGAAAATTCGTCCCTCAATTCCGGTCTGAAGGCCTTGTCCAAGGCCCTGATCTCCTTTAGCTCCTTCTCCTCCACCAACAGGCGGACGATCCTCTGACCCAGAAACCCTCCTGCTCCCGTCACAAGGCAGCTCCAGCCTGTCATGGCCAATCCAAATTAGCAGGAAGCACTCACCAGGAAACAGAAGATGCCGGGGCGCAGATCTGATTCTAGGGTGATCTTGAAGAGGGCTAAAAAAAAGAGATCAAATGATTATATACTCACACAGATGCCTTATTTTCCTCCACCCCATTTTTTCGCAAAAATTTTACGTCTCCACCATTACCAGGAGCAGCTGAAAGACAATGAAGAGGTTCTAACTATTAGAACTTCTAACAGACAGTTGGAACAGTTAGATGGTTAAAAGCTGGACAGAAGCGTCGGAGTGCTGGTCACTTCATCCTCTATGGTAGCCCTGAAGGTTTATGCTCTGTAGCTTCTGGTTGGCCTCTTATCACTTTGAACGCCTGCCATGTACTAATTTCTCCTCCTACTATAGTGTCTCTTTTCTCAGAAGAATAGTGACCTTTAGTTCATATCCTAATTCTTCCCAGGAACAGGAAGGTAAGTCCAATCCTAAGGCTGCAGAGTTTTAGAGTCTTAGGTTTAGCCTTAACACAACACGGGTAAGTTGATACCAGCTGTCTGGGATCTGCAATCTGTGATCTTAAACTAGACTGGGAGAAATCGCCAAGGGCAACGTGAACTTTGCCTTTGTGTGGTAACTATGTTTGGAGGGAAATCTGCATTAGCCCATTATCTCCTCCCTCAGAGTGTCATTTGAAATGTGGTTGCTGTCTTGCAAAGTTTAGAAATTGGCAATGGTGGCGGCTTCAATCACTAAGTTTTACGGAGGTGACTTTCTTTCCTATGCAAAATATCCACAACCTCCATTGTAATGCTCCCCTTGAGAGCCCTGGGTTCCTAAATGAGGAACATCATTGAAGGAAGGCTATCTAGTGATAGCCACTTAATGATATGGCGTGTACCACAAGAACGGGGATTTGTGGTCATATTCCCCAATGACTCTTATCGTAGATGTTTGAACTTTTCCCATATTTTTGGCTGCACAGCCATTCTCAGCAAATTTCTGGACTGAAGATGCTGCGAATACCTCTTGAGCCTATGCTTCATAACTGGCCAAATTTTACTACCATAAGCTCTGCAAGACACTTTTCCTCTACTTACAAAAATTGAGATATAATTTATTTTCATTAAAACACCCAGATCTCAAGTGCTCAGTTCAATGAACCCTGCCAGTTATGTATGCCCATGTAAGTACCACCTGAAAAAATATATAGGTCATTTCCTTCATTGTGGAAAATTCTTTTCTGCCTGTTGTTAGTTAATTCCCTGCCCTGACCCCAATCTACCTGGTGGGAAACTACTTTCTGATTTTTATTTCCATGGAATTCTTATTTTATTCCTAAATTTTTCTTCTAAGATCTCTGTGGTTCTGGATATATATTAAATCATTCAGTTCATTTTGAACTGAAGTTTTGTGCCTGGAGCACAGAAGAATTGATTGTCTCTATTGGTTGTTCATTTTTCTATTTCATGATTCCTTTATTTTTGTTATTGGCTTATATTTATTGACTTTGGATTTCTTTTTTAGTCTTCTTTTTCAGGGTTCTTACTATAAAAGCATATGTAATTGCCTTTTCCTTTGCTCATTTCCACTATAGGCATTTAAAGTTGAAATTTTTCCCTAAGCACTTTGGTAGCTGTATCCAGCATTCTGATGAGTTGCGTCTTCATCATTTAGTTGCTGATGTTTTGAGTTTTTTATTGTGAGCTCATTTTTGACCCAAGTGACCCATACCAACGATGTATATTGCTTGTTTTCTAAAATTGGGGGTTTTCTAGATATCTTATTGTTATGTATTTCCAATTAAATACTATTGTGGCCAGAGCATGTACTCTGTATGATTTTGATCTTTGGATATATATTGAGGCTTGTTATATGGTGCAGCATATGGTCTATGTTGGTGAAAATGCCATAAGCACTTGAAAAGAATGCTATCTGCAGCTGTTGGAAGTGATAATCTACAAATGATTTGCTTTGAAACCCCATTCTGGGTCTTGCCCTCCTCCCATGTTGTAGACATTCAACTACTACTTGGGGCCTGACTAGCAACGCTTCAAACCCACTTGCCTAGAAGAGGTTGGCCCTGGGCTGCAAGATGCAGCAGCTTGTTCTCTGAAGCTCTCAGAACTAGCTACAAGTGCTGGGTCTTGCGGAGATGTGTGGAGCACTACCTGAGACCACTCAGGTGCATCACACAGCTTTGCCTGCTGTAGCAGATGCTGGAGTGAGCCTTACAGACCCCCCCATCACCTTCAGGATGGGGCCGGACATTCCCTCAGCTGTTGAGAGTTCTGGAGCCTGGCAGATTTCAGCCAGTGTCTCTCAGAGTCTCTGAGTAGAATTAATAAGTATAAGCCCTAAAGAAAGTGAGAAATTAAACAAAGGGCAAGACTGATGGAGGCCACAGTACTAAATTTCTTTTGTCTTTTTTTTTTTTTTTTTTTTTGAGACGGAGTTTCGCTCTTGTTACCCAGGCTGGAGTGCAATGGCGCGATCTCGGCTCACTGCGACCTCCACCTCCTGGGTTCAGGCAATTCTCCTGCCTCAGCCTCCTGAGTAGCTGGGATTACAGGCACGCGCCACCATGCCCAGCTAATTTTTTGTATTTTTAGTAGAGACGGGGTTTCACCATGTTGTCCAGGTTGGTCTCGATCTCTCGACCTTGTGATCCACCCGCCTCGGCCTCCCAAAGTGCTGGGATTACAGGCTTGAGCCACCACGCCCGGCCTCTTTTGTCTTTAAACAGCTTTACTGAGGTATAATTGACATATTATAACATTCCTCTGTTTTAAGTGTACAGTTGAATTATTTTCAGTAAAATTTTAGGCTTGTGTGGCCATCACCATGATCCTGCTTTGCACCATTTCTATCATTCCTAAGAAATCCCTCATGCTCATCACCCCTTTTCGCTAGTCCCCAGGTCCAGGCAGTGCCCAATTGACTTACCGACTCTACAGATTTTCCTTTTCCGGACACCATATAAATAGAATCATGCAATATGTGGTCTTTTGTATCTGTTTTCTTTCACTTAGCTTAATGTACTTTCATGGTTCACGTATGTGGCAGCACTTATCAATATTTTATTCCTTTTCAGTGCCAAATCCTATTAAATTGTATGGATAGCTCTCATTACTTTATTCATTCATCATTTGATAGATATTTGATGTGTTTCCACTTCATGGACTATTATGGATAAAGCTGCTATGAATATTCACCTTCATGTTTTGTGTGGACGTAGTTTTTTTTTTCTTTTGGGTCGTTAGCTAGGAGTGAAAGTGCTAGATCCTATGTAAATGTATCTTCAACGTTGTAAGAAACTGCCACACTGGTTTCCAACATGGCTGCATGTCCCATTAGCAATGTGTGAGTATTTCAGTGTTTCACATCATTGTTTCTTTCACTTCCTCCAGGTGTTATTGTCCTGTTTTATTACAGCATTCTAGTGGGGAAGAAGTGGTGTCACACTGTAGTTTTGATTTGCGTTTCCCTGCTGACTGATGAGGCTGACCACCTTTCCATGTGCTTTATTGGCCATTTCTATACCTTTTTGATGAAATGGTTATTCAAATATATTGCCCATTTTAAAATTGGGTTATTTATATTTTTGTTGTTAGTTGTAAAAGTTTGTTTTATATTCTGGATACAAGTCCTTTATCAAATATATGAATTGAATTTTTTTTCTCAGTCTGTGGATTATCTTTTCATTTTCTTATTGATGACTTTTAAATGCCAGCATCATTAGTTTTGATCATGTCTCATTTTTCAACTGCTTTTTAACCAGGAAAAGTTGGGTTTTTGCCTTATGAATATGACAATCTGTATTTTCTTCTAAGAGGTATACAGTTTAGCCCTTAAATTTAAGCCTATGATTTATTTTGAGGGAATTTTTGCCTATGTGTGTGTTAATGGCCTAAATTCATATGGCCAATTAATTTTGACAATAGTAAATTCTATAGGGAAAAATATGGTCTTTTAAACAAGTGATACTGAGACAACTGAATTGTCCACATGCTCACGGAATGTCAGCATGCTATGTCAAGTGTTGCTCATCTGAGTCACCACCTTTTGGCATCAGAGTTTGTGAAGAATTTATAAATACAATCATTATGGGTTAAATAATATGCTGTAGCCTTCTGCTTCTCCCATTTGACCAACAGCCACATCTTCTTGTGCAGCACCAGCCACGTCCCTCCCTGAGACACCATGGTGAAGGTGAAAGCCAGAGTCAACGGATTCGGCCCTTTTGGGTGCCTGGTAACCAGGGCTACTTAAAACTCTGGTAAAGTGGTTATTGTCACCATTCATGACCCCTTTGTTGACCTCAAATCCATGGTCTACATCTTCCAGTATGATTCCACCCCTGATGAATTCCATGGCATCATCAAGGCTGAGAATGGAAAGCTTGTCATCAGTGGAAATCCCACCACCATCTTCCAAAAGCTAGATTCCACCAGAATCAAATGCGGTGATGCTGGTGCTAAGTACATCATAGAGTCCACTGGCTTCTTCACTACCATGAGGGCTGCAGCTCACTTGCGGCGGGGAGCTAAAAGGGTCATCATCTCTAACCCTTCTGCTGACACCCTCATGTTTGTGATGGGTGTGAACCATGAGAAATGTGACAACAGCCTTAAGATCATCAGCAGTGCCTCTTGTACCACCAACTGCTTAGCACCTCTGGCCAAGGTCATTGATGACAACGTTGATATGGTGAAAGGACTCATGACCACAGTCAATGCTATTATTGTCACCCAGAAGACTGTGGCTGTCCACTCTGTGAAACTGCAGCATGACAGCTGCAGGGCTCAAAAGAACCTTATCTTTGCATCTACTGGCCCTGTCAAGGCTGTGGCAAATATATCAATGAGCTGAACAGGAGGCTCACTGGCATGGCATTCTGTTACCCCACCACCACCATGTTGGACACAGACCTGAGCTGCCATCTGGAAAAATCTGCCAAATATGATAACATCAAGAAGGCAGTGAAGCAGGCATCAGAGGGTCCCCATACGGGCATCCTGTGCTTCACTGAGAACCATTGACACCCACTCTTCCACCTTCGATCCCAGGACTGGCATTGTCCTCAATGACCACTTTCTCAATCTCATTTTCTGATATGACAGTGAATTTGGCTATAGAAACAGGGTGGTGAACCTCACAACCCACATGGCCTCCAAGGAGAAAGACCTCCGGACCACCAGCCCCAGCAGAGCATGAGAGGAAAAGGGAGGCCCTCAGCTGCTCGGTAGTCCCTGCCACACTCAGTCCCCCACCACAGTTTGTGGAAACTGTGAGGAGAATCTCCCCTCCTCACAGTTTCCACACAGAACCCTGAAGAGGGAGGGGCCTAAAGAACCCTACCTTGACATGTATCACCAAAATGTCCCTTGTATGTGCTCAGAAAAGAAAAAAATGCTGTATTAGGAAAACTCACAAAGATTACTGATCAGCAAAAGAATAGATGACATGATTTAGGTGGCATGATTTCCCCATCCTCCTATTTTATACTGATGAATAAACGGTCAGGAAATGCTGGGTTCACAATGGGAGTCTTCACTCCAGGTTAGGAACATTCGTCTCCCTTATTATAATTTTTTATCATGTAAACACAT